TTTTGGGATTACGAGATTTTACTATTGTTTTAATCGGTTCTACTAATCCTTTAATAAATATCGCTAGAGTTTGTTCCCTTAATATATCATATATAATTTTTGCTTCTGCAGCTTCTTTGCCTAATGTACTTACGGTACATAACTGATAATATAGTTTCTCTACTCTATGACAATAATCATTTGCATCCTCATTGTGATACATTCTAATCGAATTTAATTGAAGTTGTAACGACGATGCCGTGGTTGTTACCTCAAATGCATCTGTTAAATAAATTTTTATAAACTGCCATTTCGATACATTTTTGTATTTAATCATTTCTAATGCTCTACCCGTTAAACGTGTGGTAATATATTTTACTAGCGTTGGTGCACTATTTGTGTCGACTAAACTTACTGCCATATCGCATGCATTTATGAATTGATAGATATCGTCTATTCCTGTGCATAGTGGAATTAATTTAAAAGCGTCTTCTAATCTTATGGTTACTGCCATTTTTTTAGTGCGTGTTATAGGTAAAAATACTAATGACTGATGTTCAAAACTATCTGTAACTTGGCTACGTGTGATTACTCCTGGACTTGGGTTTCTACTTGCGCTATCTCCTAACTGGGTATCTACTATAATATTCAACTGGGCTTTCTGTTGGGCTTCAAACTGGGCTTGGGCTTCTCTCTGGGCTAATAACTGGGCTTCTAACTGGGCTTCTTCTAATACACTAGTGTCATACAATGAATTAATTACTTTCAAGGGAGATGTACCTTCTTTGTCCATAAATTACTTGGCTACCTATTTAATACGTTAATACTCATAATAATACTCAAAATGCCCTATAAATACAATAATAACTTCAATAATATGCCCTCTAATAAATTCAATAAACTTCAATAATACTTCAATAATAAAAATGCCCTCAATAAATCAATAAACTTCAATAATAATCAATAATAACTTCAATAAAACATGCCCTCAATAATAAACTTCAATAATATTCAATAAAATATGCCCTCAATAAAATTTAAAACGGTTTATACCATTACACTTATAATCAACTACCTAGATTTATCTTAATATGTCTTAATTATGTTGCATACGTCTATGTAACAGATTTAAATAACTATTCACTCACAATAATGCTGTGTTCATGGCTGACGATGACATGTTGCCGATGTTGATGATGCTGCTGATGGATTTGTAGGTACTGCGATGTGACTTATTTGTTTTTGTTGGTTCCTCCTGGAGTTGTCTTCGCTGAAGAGTGATCAATTCTTCGTTGTTGACAGTAGCCTTTGATGGTTGCCTCCCTTTGTGGAATCCTTTATCGACTGCGCCAGTGTTACATGCGGCCCTTCAGGGATCCAAAAGCTGGTGTACTTTGATAAATAATAATAGTCAATTAGTATGATAATCAAATGTATTATATTAAACCAGACAAAACAAGCAGAATAATAGTGTTGATTGTAGCGAATTGTAGCTCGTTCCGAAGTTGATAATCTCCATGTAAGTCGTGTGTAGTGGCTGGTGGCTAAGCGGCTCGCTCGGTCTTGGCGGCTCTGGTACATCTAATTTGTATTGAGGCCCTAGCCTCTATATATACGAATATACGAAGGCGACGCCCTTTGAATTGAGCGGCGCGTGGCATGTAGGCGCCCTTGGGAAGTTGTTGTTGTTCGAAGCGTTTATTCTAGCTATGACCACTTTTGGGTGCGGTCGACGAGGCCGCTTTCTACATAAGTAGTACTTGTTATTGTGAGCGTTGTACATGAATTGCGTAATCCCATTACAGGACAGTCAAATTAAATTTTTATGAGCGTTTGAAATTCAAATTTTTACAACATTGGATATTCACTCGATTACTCTTGTAGCGATTTCTTTATTTTGTTGCAATTCAAAAACGAACAACTGTAGATACATGAAAATTTCACTGAATGTTTAAATTAGCATTTTCTATACACCATACAATTTTTAAAATATTTTGACTCTTTTTGAGCTGTTTATGGACATTTACAGCTTTCAATTTTTTTTAGTTTTTTTTTTCTTTGAATATCAATAAAGTTTTATCTGTTGGGCCAAAAAGTGTAAAAATTTAATACAAGGCTCCTGATATATTGTTACAATATCAGTTGAAAAATATTAAAAATACATAGGCACAATTTTTTTTTATAAGTATTTAAACATCGAATTTTGACAGAATTTTTCAAAATCTCGAAATGTATTAATCATCGTAATTAATAAGTTATAAAATGTTCAGTTTTTATAGCTAAGGATTGAAAATTTAAAACAAGATTCCACGTAAGTAGTTAATTATCTTACCGAAAAATCTAAAAAATATACAATCACAGTTTATTTTTATAGTCATTTTATGTTCAAATTTGGACGAAATTTCATATTAAAAAACCTAGTTATTTTGTTGTGATTATATAATATTATTCGTGGGTACGGGGTACCTACTTGAAAATTCTAAAGTGTATTATTATATATCAATGATAGTATCAGGGTTTGTTATTGATGTTGATGTATAACGTGTTATAAGTACCTAATGGATATTGTGATAATGTGATATGATTAATTTGGAATTTATTATAGGTCAATTTTTTTTTAATACCATAGATTTGTATATAATTTATCTTAAACCTAGACTGACATACCGTCTTCGCTCAGAATCGTTTTTCTTATACAATGATATTATATCATTGAATTCAAATTTAATAGCATCCATTATACAGTGACCCACTTGTAACCTACTGTACAGCAGAGCGACATCCACTTACCCACCATTTTTAAATTTGTTTTTTATATTTTCACTAATTTTAATAGAATCAGCTAACTGAAGGCAGAGTTGGGCAAAATTTTATCTAGATAATTATTCGAATAAATATGTAAAAAAAAATATTCGAATATTTTTTTATACAATTATTCGAATAATTTGAACATATTATTATTCGAATATTTTTTTTTTATAATTATATAGCGTGTTCTGCACGGCGCACTACAATATTGCTTTATTCTATTGACTATTAAGCATTAGGCATTAGCACATACACAATGCACATGTCATATGCCCAAATATCATTTAGTTATTGAATATAGACATAGCTGTAATCGTATATAATTATATATTATATACTATTCTACGTAGCTACTACGTATGTTGTATCTCATATTTAAAATTACCTCATTGAATTTATGATATCTAAACATCGAAAACGTGGTTTTAACAAATATATTTTGTACTACGTAAACTTTAAAGATTATCTTATGATTACTTGTGTCGTGTTGCCGAGTTAGTTCTTCTATGCGCGAGTGTATGAATGTGTCACAGCGGTGTTTAATTTAAAATATCAATTTATTTCAATATGAATTCCTTGAATGTACGTAGCGAAGATTCAAAAATTTCAACACAACAGTCAGCCGAAATGACGGACTCTATGTCCATTTTAGATGGTAAGTTATTTAAAATAAAATCTAAAATGGACAAAAATAAAGTAATTGCTACATGCGTAACATGTGAGCCCCGCCATGTTGAAATAAAAGGATCATTATCATCAACGTCGAATTTTAAATCTCATCTCAAAAGAAGACATTATTAGTCCGTTATTGATTCATATGAAAATTATTTATCAGAAAAACGATTAAAAATCAAGGATAATGCAGTTAGTAGAGTACATCCTGATAAATTTTATTATACATTCAATGGTCCCACTAAGAACGGTAGAAAACCCATTTTTCAAAAAAATATTTGAAAATATTGAAATCACTAAAATAATTAGTGTTCCTAGTCGACGAAATCTTGGGAGAAACATACACAATTTGTTCGAAGACAATAAAGAAAAAATTATAAACAATATTAAAGATATCAAATATGTATGTATCACAACTGATGGCTGGTCATCAAAGAAGAAAAGTTTTTTGGACGTATATTGGATCGATATCGATAATTTCCAACGGCGATCATCGAGTTTACTTGTCGCAGATTTCGTTTAACACATAGTTATAACAGAATTGCTGATATACATTTGGAATACAGTTTGGATTCTAATAAGGTTAGTAATTGTATATATTATACATTTTAATAATGTTGTATGTATACTACAGTGAAACCTCTATATACATATCCCCCCCCCCAAATATTTCATTATCACACTAAAAAATATACCTACAGTTTTTAGTTGTGTGGGATCAAAGCCAAACATATATAAGTATATAATGAAAAAATTATATTTTAATGAAAAAAGCCGATGGTAAATACACATTACACAATATGATACGTATACAATTATAAATATACGCAATAGTCGTTATCGTTATCGACGATATAGGAGTACCTATATGTAATCGATCGTAATCCGTGTATCGACGTTACGTAGTTGTGTAGTATAATACAATTTTATATTATACAGATGCAATTGAATATGAGTTTGGACTAAGATTGTTGTCCGTTATCAGGGAGAAATATTACTCCCCGTGTCCGTAACAGAAAGATTCCGTTTTAGACAAATTTAAATACATTGTAATACCTACCTATCTTTTTGCCAGGACTTTTGAGACAGGTGTATATTATACAAATTTTAGGTACTCCGTCAAGTCAGGTTTCACTATATTATATATATTATACAATTTATTATATATAAAACATATTAAATGATAAAGACATTAACAAGTTTTACGAGCTTATTTACCGTTTATGTTTCTCCATTGTATTTACCCTTTTATAGATAAAAGACTAGCTGCCCGTGTGCCTCGATTCCGGGCGTTGTGGAAGCCGCCTCCGACGCCTTCGAGCCCGTCCAAGCTGAGACCGGACCGAACCAATTTAAAATTTATTTTTGAAACCGAACCGGACTGAAAAATGAAAATAAAGCATTTGATCCTAGGACTGGACAGGACTGAACCAAATAACTCCTTAAACATAATGAACCAGACCAAATGGACGATTCGTTAGTTTGTATGTATTAGGACCGGACCAAACCGCACCACAGTCCGGTCCGGTCCGAACCGGACCATGCAGAGCACTACGAGTATGGACTCCGTCAGGTCAGGCCCATTCGGTCAATTATTTCGACCGGATAATTTTGTTTTTGGACAATCCGGTGCAGGCAATAATTGGGCCAAAGGATATTACACAGAAGGCGCTGAGCTGGTGGATTCGGTACTCGATGTAGTTAGGTATAGCTATGTTGAAAAACACGTCGTATAATAACGTTATAAATTAATTAATGTCCTATTGAATCTTAATTAATATTTAAAAATTAATAATATATTTTTAAAAAAATTAAAAAATTAATTTTTATTAAAAAAAATTTTAATTTAGGAAGGAAGCAGAGAGTTGCGACTGTCTACAAGGATTCCAACTGACCCGTTTCGCCGGAGTGGAAAACGGCAAGACTTGTGTTGCTACACAAGCCAGGTAGACCACTCGACAGCCCGTCTGCATACAGACCCCTATGCATGCTGGATACGATGGGAAAGTTATTTGAGAAGCTGTTAACGCAGCGACTTCGCGACCATCTAAGGAGAACGGGGAACCAACCGGAAAACCAGTACGGTTTCAAGGAGGGTAAATCGACACTGGATGCTATGGCGAAGCTACAAACCGCAATACGAAACGCAAACGGTCGTACCAGTGCGTACAATTGAGACGTCGGCATGCTGACATTGGACGTCCAAAATGCGTTTAATAGCGCTTCACAGTCTGTGTACGTACAGTGGATAGATCACGTCTATCTGATGGGCTGCTCCCATCACTCCTATATGCTATAGTCCAGGGGCCTTCCATAATTAAATGGTTGACTATTTCGTAGTTCGAAAACTGACCTATGACTCAGGGCTGCAGATGTGCCTTTGGTCGATGCGAGGTATCGTTCTAATAAGCGAGGATACCCACGAAATGTCTTGGCATATTGCCAAGATCTAATTCATAGAATCTACTATACTCCGAAGAGTTCTCAAAGATATCTTACAGGCTCGGGTTTTGTCATCCGGCCGTTGGCAGAAGATGCGGCTGTTGCTAACAATTACCTATAATATTGCTCTCCCAAGGATTTTGTTTAACGCTGACATTATCTCAACTCTCCATGTCTTACCATAGTACAACTTGTACTGTGTAATATAACTATGTGTAGAGGCAGAGTAGAGGGGTCAGTAAGTTGCAAGTTTCAGTTGTTTTTAAACATGAATAATCCAAAAAAATTATGTTAAATTTTAATTGTAAAGAAATTAGTTTTTTTTGATTTATTATAATATACCTACTCTGAATGTTCTTGAATCTAAGAAATATTCTGGTTTGTTTTATGAGTCCAAGTAGAAAACTAAATTAATTTGAAGTCAAAATAAATGGAAGTTACAATTAAAATTAATTTGTAAAATATAATGACAGAAGCCTTTATAATGGTAATGACACGCCGTTTTTCACAAAATATTATTATAATAATTTATTAAAATCACAGGAAGCTCCTAAAAAAATAACTTAGCTATTATTGTGTATAGAAAATTATATATTATTATTATTATATTATCATATTGTGCTCACAAAACAGTTTCTTTTTTAATTATATTTTTGGATATATTTACGTTCAATTTTTATATAGGTTGAATCAGACATACTCAACATTATAGGATTAATCCTGTTTCAGCGTGTTTCAAGATTTTCGTTCGAAATGAAGTACTAATGCATAATGGTTATTAAAATAATGGTTATTGTATTGATGCAGGCACATTACTATAATAGACAATAAAGATTGATAAATTGTACGGTTAATTTTAGATTCATATAATTTAATTCATATTTAGATTCATATTGTACGATTATCACTCCAAACCTGGTAACACTGACTACTGAGTAAATGGTCGAGGAAACTAGTAAGATATTTTAAATTATTCCTGTTACATAACTCTTATTGGTCTTACTGCATGCTGTTTACTGTAAACTGTAAAAGTATAACTGTTGTCTGTTTATGCACATCTATGTATTTGGTATTTACATTTTACAGTATAGGTTTTTTTCATTACCTATAATACTTTTTTGTCGTTAATTTATACGTTCAGTGAAATAACATATTCAATCATATTTTATTTGTTGAAATCGGTAAATAGTTCCATTGCCGCCTACTATCCATTGGAATTAAGTAAGTTTTATAATTTTTTAACATGTTCAGTACTGTAGTTGGAGTAAAACATTTTAGGTGCATTAAACTTATACTATTTATATGGACTATCGAAAATATGTATAATATGACTATAATTTTTTTATTACAGTATAATATTATGGTGTATGTTTGATGTCAATCATTTTTGGTCGTTATTCTGCAGTCCACACTCCACAGTGCTGAACACGTTAAGTGATATAATTTATTAATTATATTTTGTTTGTTGAAATCGGAAGATACTACCATTGCTGCTTACTAGTTTACTACATCCATTGGAATTGAGTAAGTTTTATAATGTATTACAAGTGTAGTACCTATAACATTTTGTTTATTGTTTACATTTATATAAATCTTATAATATAACATTTTTGTTGGGGCCTAAAATAAAAGTTGGTACCTTAGTTAGCCAAGTGCCCTTCGATATGTGTATGTACAATATACATTGAATAGGTTTATTGTCACTGCACCCTCCATACATAATGTATGTATGCTTACATATTATGCCACAGATGCTAATTATATTACCTACTAAACTATTGTTTTATAATTGTAAAATAACAATTATTTACAATGAAAAAATGTATTGATTTAACTTTTAATTTTTAAATTAAACATAAATATATAGGTAGTAACTAGTAAGTAGTAGGTACTACCTGTATCGAATCGTAGTAATGTTATATTATGAAAAAAAACATATTATAATAGTAATTAATTTTACTACTAAGACTGGACAACATAATTTAATGTAAATAATAATTAAAATGAATAAAAGAATCATATCTTCATTTTGAGAAAAAAATAACAACAATGCATTAATGTTAATAGTGTATATTATTATTTATAAAACAATATTACATAGATTTATTAAATGGGAGCAATAGAGAAACAAATAAAATGTATAACATTTTAAAAATAATACTTCACTTTAAATTTTTATTCAACTAAACAGATGTTACATATATAAATATATTATTTATTTAGTAGGTACCTTGTATTAATGATTTACATAATGTGAGAAGAAATATTTCTGATTACCATGAATGACCTCACAAAGAAAATGATAAGTCAAATGTCGAAAAATCTTAGGTACCCAATTACTGCTGCATATTCCCAATATAAACATACAAATCGGGTCTTGTAATATTTATTTTTTATCAATTAAACATTTACTAGTAGTTACTAGTTACATTAATGGTAATACCATATCGATAAATTGTGTAAATAATAACAATAAGGTTATAGTTATATGTTTGAAGACAAGCGCATCACTTTCACCCATTCCGTCACCTGATGACTTAATATCAAGTATGGGGAGTAGTAGTACTCAAATAATAGATGAAAATGCATTTCATGACAATTCATTTGCATCAGTATCAACAATAAATTCACAGTCAGCTGATGTTCAATATGCTGCAAGTAGTGCAAGTATAAACTTTTCTAAAACGTCGATTAAACGGAAACTATTAAAAGGTGATTGTGACTATGTTCTTGTACCAAACCTTGGGAAAAATGATGTATGGAAAAAATTTAAAATTATTATGCACATTATTCCTAATCCTGACAACCCAGATTCCCCAGAACAAAATCCTACAGATTTTGTCGCATGTGTCTCATGTATGGAACTATACAGTAAATCTACTAGTACTGCTACCCTTAGTAGACATAAGTGTAGTATGCCATCATCTCCAAATACACTTGAAATGTATGGGGGATTTAAAAATAAGAAGCGAATGCCAACAAATATAAAAGATGAGGCAATAAAAAAATGCGTGAAGTACTGTAGTCTGGATATTCGACCTATGTTGGCTATCAAAGGTCCAGGTTTTTGTGAAATTGGTCAATTTTTTTTGGATATTGGTGCAAGGTATGGATCAACAGATATTCATGATATTTTACCCCACCCAACAACTGTATCCAGACATATTGTAAGCACAGCAACCAAAATTAGAAAAATATTTTTTAAAAAAGTTTACAGTTCAATAAATGATAAATACTGTGCTTCCACTTGTGAAATGTGGACGGATAATTATAAAAAAAAACAATTACATGTCGATCACAATTCATTTTATTGATGACAAATGGTGTCTAAATAACCGTCTTTTGTATACAGGACAGTACTCTTCACATGAAACAAAAACGGGTGAAAATATTAAAAAATGTATGATAAATATATTTACTCAATTTACTGAAATTGCAGAAGAATATAATAGTTCAGATTTGATGAATAGTATAACATTTGTAACTGACCAAGGGTCAAATATAGTAAACGCATTAAGGAGTTATAAAAGACTTAATTGTTGTGCTCATTTGATAAATACTATTTTAAGAAACCTTTTCGATATGAATTTTTTATCAAAAGAAGACGACAACGGTTCTGTGCCCTTACAGCCTATAATAGATTTATTTACATAATGCAAAAATCTAGTTAAGTTTATGAAGAGTTCTGGGAAAAACAACCAATTATCAATGGTCTTGGTCCAAGAAGTCGAAACTAGATGGAACACAAGATTATTAATGTTGGAATCTATTCAAAAATCTCTACAAGAAATAATTAATATTCTAGAGAAATATTATAATAAGAGAATATTTTTGTTGCATACAAAATATTAATAAAGACCTTCTTCAAAGTTTGATTACATTTTTGAAAGTGTTTAAAAATGCTTCGGATGAACTTGAAGGGAATAAAAAACCTACAATTCAAAAGGTAGTTTTATTTAAATGATAATAAAAAATCATTTGATAAAATATGCTAACCATGAAGTTAACAATCTTGATGAAGACGTTGAAGTCAACATAGACTTTATTATGAAGACACTGGGAGGTAAAGCATTGGATATTCTTGAAACTAAATTTCAATTAAGTAATTAGCACGAAATAGCTGTATTTCTATGGCCAAAGTTCAAAATGCTCAAAATGTTTCCCCAAGAAAATGGTGAAAGAAATCGTATATTGGCTGACATAGAAACAAGGCTTTTAAAATTCGAAATTGAAGATGGTGAACAAAGGACAAATTCAAGAACAGAAACCAATATGAATTCCCACTCACAAGAAGTTATATCTAAGGAAGCTATACCATGTTTTCCGAATGGGAAGATAGTATTCTAGAAGAAAGACCTCAACAACCGATTTATAAGTATAAAAAAAGAGTTGCAAAGTTATAGAGAAGACACATATGATATAACTGATGACCAATTAATATTAGATTTTTGGTCAAAACAAACATTACGATTTCCGTACTTGTCAAAACTAGCCAGACAAGTACTTGCTATACCAGCGTCCAGCGCAAGCAGTGAGCGTTCCTTCAGTGTTGCTGGTAGAGTTATAGAAGAATGCAGAAGCTGTCTTGAAGGCTCAATAGTTGATGCCATATTATTTTTAAATAACCATTTTTCTAATGAAAAATAAAAAAAATCTCAGTTTTTCCTTAATTTTTTACTTTTGACCTCTCAAAGTACCAACTAGATTCACTTTCCTATCAGAAAAGATGCTGTTAAAAAACATCCAAGAATTTTTACAGTCCTAAAAAGCGATGACTGATAACAGACACAAATAAAAACACATAATTGTAAAAACAATAAAATCATCGCTCCACTCAGAATCTAAAATGATTATTAAATTTGATACTTCATACATTTTACTAAGTATAATAACTAAATTGAGTTTAATGTTTGTGCAGTATACATTTTCCTGATAGTTATGTACACTACACACTTACACAGGTATATTATATACATTATAAAAATTAGTTGAGAATTTCCTTTTAGAGTAAATTAAAAGTTAATTATGAAACTTTTAGGATCCAAACCATAATAAATGGTGAGATATTATGTTATAAAATGATCATAAAATTAATTGAACTTTACCTTGTCTTAAATATTATACAAGGAAACTCCCGTACCTTCTGGTTTTCATTATCTTAGTCTAATATATACTAATGTCATATTGGTATCATTCAATCGTACCATTTAATCACATTAATACATTTTTGTGTAGGTACCTATTCTCCACTCGGTAGTAGCCACTAGCCAGTACAAAATATATGGTTCAATTTAATAATTTAAAATTTTTATATTTTTTTTTTATTTAAAATCAAAGTTAGGTTTCGTTAGGTTAGGTTAATATACAAGTATGGGCAAGTTAACTATTATTTTTATCTTATGAAGTTCAGTTAATATAGAAATATGAAAGTTAAGTTTAGAGTTTCTTACTTTTATTTTTAGGTAAATGTTACAAGTTAAGAAAAAATAACTTAGTTAAAAATCAGGTACTTTTTTACGTTCTGCTACACTGCTTCAGTCCAGATTGATTCAGAGTAGGTACAGAGTATAGACTAACCCATACAGTCCGGTCCGGTCCAATACAAAATAAATCATATGATCAGATTTAGGCATTACTAACTGAACCTTACTACGATCCGGTCCATCCACTTTTACGGTATGGTCCATAAAGTTTACAGTCCGGTCCATAAACGGTCTAGAATGTTTTAAGATCGAACTGGCAGTCCGGTCCCGGTCTACTTTATTAAATTAAATTAAATTACTGGTCCGGTTCGGTCTAAAAATAATATGTACTATGGTTCAGTCTGACTTTGGTCCTCTGTTTACTTTTAAGTATGAAACAGTCTGACTTCGGTCTTCTGTTAAAATTTGAAGTCCGGTCCGGTCAAAAAATAACGGACCGCGCAGAACACTATCGTACATAGGCGTAAAATGGGGGGGGGGCGAGAGGGGGCAACTGCCCCCTCTCACAAAATTGAACGGGGCAATGCCCCCTTGGTATTTTGTAAATTAATTTGAAAAATATTATCAAAAATGCATTTTAGATTTGTAAGAATTACTTTTTCGAAAAACTAAAAAGTATATTTTAAAAAGATTATCTATAGAAAAAAAGAAAAGACATTCCGCTATGTTAGTCCTGATTATCAAAATATTTTTATAAATTTGATGGGTCAAAATGTTATGAATCAGATAATTGAAAATGTCAAAAATGCAGGTGTGTATAGTGTAATAATGGATGAAACCCAAGACATGAAAAAACACGAGCAAGTTTCTATAGTTTTAAGATATTGTGATACACAATTAAACGTATTTGAAAGTTTTATTGGGTTTTATAGAACAGATAAAATGGATGGAGAATCTCTTTCAAATTTACTTAAAAATACTCTACTAACATTAGGTCTAAAAATCGAAAATATCAGAGGTCAATGCTACGACGGTGCAGCTTCGATGCGTGGTTCATACTCAGGAGTTGCTAAAAGGATTAAAGATGAAAATAAACTAGCCCTGTATGTACATTGCTATGCTCATGTACTAAACTTATGTGTAGTTGATGTTAGTGGGAAAGTAGTACCAATTCGTAACATGTTTGGTATTTTAAATAAAATTTATACGTTTATAGGAGCTTCTTCAAAAAGACATTCAATATTTGAGAGAATACAAAAGGAATCAAATTTATCCAACAATACTTTAAAATCACTTAGTGACACTAGACGGGGTTGCCGAATAGAAGCTATTCGTTCTGTTATAAATAATTTTAATTCTATTGTTTTAACCTTAGAAAATATAAATGAAACAGACTCTACTCATGGCCCTGATGCAAATTCAATATCAAATAATATTCAAAACTTTGAGTTTATATTTTGTTTGAAGTTAATGAAGTTAGTTTTTGAATTAACCAACTCCTTGTCACAACATTTTCAAAAAAAAAATGCTAACTTCTCTACTATTTCAATATTAACAGCAGCTACTATTGTGGAGCTACAGTCTCTTCGTAGTGATGATAGTTTTGATAAAATTTGGACAGAAACAGAACAGCTAGCTTCCAAAGAATCTATTTCATCACCCACAATTCCAAGAATAAGAACAATACCTTCAAGATTAGGTGGTGGTGAAACTTTAATTTCGAGAAACGTTGCATCATATTTCAAGACTAATATATATTTTCCTGTGTTAGATATAGTTATACATGATATAGAAACAAAATTTGCAGAAAACAATTTAAAAATACTTATTGCTCTTCAAAATTGTTTAAGTACTAGAAACCACAGGGATGAAGATATTTTAGAAGTTTGTAACACCTACAATATTAACTTTGATGACTTAAAGGCAGAATTAAAACTGTTTGGGAAAATGTGTTCATCAACTAATATTGATGAACATTTTGAAGCCCATTTAACTTTGTATTTAGAAAAAGACTTGATTGGCTCATTTGACAATATTTACCTTCTTTATAAAATTTTTCTTTCTATTCCAATGAGTTCTGCTTCAAGTGAACGTTCGTTTTCATCTCTTCGTCGCCTCAAAACATTTACAAGAAACACGATTGGCCAAGAAAGACTTAGTAGCTTGGCTATTTTACATATTGAAAAAACTTTTGAAATTAACTTTGATACAATTATTGATCAGTTTGATGCAGATTCAACAGAAAGAGGTAGAAGACTTCAATTGTCATAGACTTATTACAACATTATAATATTAGGTTTAAATTTTAATAATGTTATAAGTATAATCTTTGTATTTATGTATAAATATAAATTAGATTTTATTTAAAAATAAAGCAACAGGTAGAATATATAAATGCAGAATGTTTTTATTAAATAAACCATCATCTTATCAAGCTTTTTCCGTCATGTCATTTAATTTTACATGCTACATTAAAGATTTATCTTAGATAATATTATTATGTTATGCTTTCCAGTTTCCATTGATTAAGTATATTTAGTGTCTTAATTAATATCTAAATACCAGTATACGGTATATCGACATAAAATAAAATTTGCCCCCCCATAAAAATTGCCCAAGTTACGCCCATGCTATCGTACACAATACAGCCATTTTAAAACTAGGTATAATACATTTCTTATGAAAATTTCGTACCTCAAAAGTCATAACTAAACTAATTGCTAGTAACAATAACTATTATGTATTGATAATCAAAACTAAATCATAACTAAAAATAATTTCGATTGTGTAGTAAAATAATTTTATATTTTCCAATTCCTCCAAATTCCAATTACGGTGGAATATATTTTATCTTACACGTTTAATTTTGACGAATGTTAATAACATTTATACCTATATAGTATATTATTCTTATCGGAAATTCGTCGTAATTTCGGGGAAAAAATAAATATAAATACCCACGTCCGGCACTAAAAATAAAACAGATCGCTTACAATAAATTACATAACGTTATCCCTTCGCCTGTTAAAATAATGAAAAATCAAAGTGAATCAATCCTATTTAGATTATAAAGTACTGTGATCGGGACCGAACTGAAACAGTACTAAATTCAGCCTTCAAGGCGGTCGAGTGAAAATCGTTTCACGGGAAATTCGAAAAGAAATTAAACCGTACCGAAAACCGTGACTTGGAGTATAGAGTGGTCTTTGCTCGTCTGGTGTAATACCGTGCCCCGCCGTATGCCCGCCGACCGGTTCTGTTTTGTTGACTGTATAAGAAATTAGAAATTGCGAATAATTGTAATCAATATCTAGCCATCAATCATCGCTCTATGTACATCTATGAGTTATAGGGAATGTGTGTATGCGGATGGGATGCATGACCCGCGTCGCATGCTAGATGCAAGTGAAAAAACGGGAAATTCAAAAAGAAATTAAGTCGTATAGCTGCCGCAATTTTTGAGTGTCTAAGAAGTCAGTCACCCGGCTCGATTTTGAACGTAGTCTGGCAGGTAGGGAATCCGACTTCGTCGTATAGCGGACGACGTGCAACGGTCGGGTAACACGATGAGGCATGCAATCCGAAAACTGTGACTGAGTGTCTAGCGGTCTTTCCTCGTCTGGTGTAATACCGTGCCCGCCGTATGTCCGGTTCTGTTTGCTGACTGTATACGAAATTAGAAATTGCGAATAATTGTAATCGAATGTCTAGGCGAATGTCTAGGCGTCTAGCCATCTATCATTGCTCTATGCAAATCTATGAGTTATAGGGCATCTGTGTATGGCAGATTGGATACATGTCCCGTCGCATGCCCTGTTCTTTTGTGCGTGCAAAAAGGATAAATGCATAACGAAAACGGTAATTGTGTGTCTAGCTTTCAGTCCTCAACCGGTACAAATTTGTGAGTTTACTGGGCATACCTCCTAACGTCGATAGTCTGATCAAGCCCGGATTAAGGATCAATTGGGCCCCGGGACACCATACACTTAGTGGGCCCCCTTTCAACTTTAACTTCAAAATAATTGTATCATTACATATTAACGACTTTATATTATTGTATAATTTTTTACTATACAAAAATAAAAAAATATAAAGGGTGTATCTTATGTCATTGTATGTTTTTTTTTTTTTTAACAATTAGGTATGGATCGATGATATAGAATTTCGTTAAAACAAAAAAAAGACAATCGTTTCTTTATTTTTAACAGGCAATTTATTTTATAACATATTCAAAATTTTTAAACACGCAGTTGTAAAAATAATAAAATCGACTTTATTTTTTCAAATGGTAACCACTATGTTTTTTATGGATTCCGCTAAAGCTTTTTTTCTAAACATTTTGACAGTCAAATAATAAATTTGGTTAGCCAGGTTATTAACTATGATCTTCTAAAGTATGCATTAGTGACGATCAAAATTGGTCTTGGTCTTGCGGTCTCGCAGGACTCTTACTACAAGACCAAGACCAAGACCAAGATTAGGCTTGCAAGAACATGACAAGACCATCACTGCAAGACTCTTGTGGTCTTGCAAATTTTTTTTTTTTTCCGATAACACATTACTGTATCTAGATTTCATTAACTAATAATTTATAACGAAAATAAAAAGAATTTATTTGTATTGTTATGAAATTTGACCAGTGTTCGAGGAAATGGCGAATTATTGAAAAAAAGATCAGAAATATAATGGGAATTGATATTACAATATAACATAGTTGTTCATACTAATTAATAATTTTATTACTGAAAAATTATTTCACACATTTATAACAGGTATTTAGTTATTTTTTATTTATTTTGTGAAAATAGCAAGAGTCTTGCTCAAGACCAAGACCAAGACCAATACTGAGTCTGCAGAATATATACCAAGTCCAAGATTTTGAAAGTCTAATTGGTCTTGGTCTTGTTTTGATCATCACTAGTATGCATTAATACTTTTAACTGAAATACCTAATTTACAAGAGCTAAATAACTTTTTCTTATGACTACCTTTTATATAGTTAAATAGTTAAATTGGTAATCTAAAATGTTCAAAAAAAATAAAAAAACGAACAAACAAACAAACAAAATTATTGGCAAACATAGTTCATTATTTATAGAAATATTTGGTGGTATAAAATTGAGAACATATTTATTTTATAATTATAAATAATAATTTACCTACTATACCTACCTACTTAAATATTTTTTTTTTTTTGAAAACTGTATTGGACGCGTTAAAAAAATATATTTTGGTGATAAAGATGGGCCCCCAAAATCAGTGGGCCCCGGGACCGTGCCCCCCCTTGCCCCCCCCCCCTTTAATCCGGGCTTGAGTCTGATATTGTATTATTGTAGGAGAAAATGTTAAAGCCGAATGTCAATTGAATAAAAAAGTTAAGTAGTCGATTTAAAGGCAACCATACTTCCCATGTATATAGGTGTCTGGTGTCTGGTGACCTGTGCATACCAAATGAAATTAAAACGTTCCATAAAGCTAATTAAATGCTCTAAATTACTTATATAGACACCTGGAGGTGTGGCGTACCTATCATAACATTATTACTGTACATAAGTACTTATTAAGTACAGTTAAATGAATATATGTGTAGCCTATAAAACATCAGTTAAATGTATCATGTTGTATATATGTGTGTTGTGCACATGCTTATAGTTTTTGGTTTTTAAAAGTGGTTTTAATACTATCAATCACTCATATATAAGTAAGTAGTAATGTATAATAATAATAAAAATAATAAATATGAACTTGGATTATTTGTTTATTAGTTATATTTTTTACATTACAAATAATATATAATCAATTAAGTACTACTAATCAGTATTTGCATAATATTTTTTATATGAAAATTATTTGCGGTGGCAAAATATCTAACCATAACTAATTATGTTTATTACATACGAAAGACATTGCTAAGAAATACAAATTCAAACATACAATATAGAATAGTTTAATGATGTTTAAAAAAATTAAATTGATTCGTGCGTCGACTGCAATACGTAGAAATCAAACATATTATACATACAACAGAATTGAAAATCTCTTACAAACCTTGGTCATGGTAGATATATGCTTTTGAAATTATAATAATTTGTGTATGAAACTTACTATTAATCAATTTAAATGTATATATACATATATATACATGTGCTACATCAGTTACAAATTAACAATGAATAATAATTAAGTGTTAGGTGTAGGAACTCTTATGATTAACAGAGTATGGTTTAGTTAAAAATTAGTAATCAGTATTGATACAATGATGATTCTTTTTGTTGTGTTTCTGTTACATCTGCATTGATGAAGTCTTTTCTAGTATAATGTTTCTGAAATAATACAAATGCATACAAATATCTGCTGATATATTTTTGAGTACATAAATAATTCTAAATAATGTACCACCTAATGTGGGAATTGCAGCCAGGTTAAATGCATGTTTGACATTTGATACAAATACATTACAAAATCCGCATCAAGAGAGAAGCACGTAGAGGTTGTCGAATTTCCCCTATGTCTTAGTAGCAGTACAATAATGATTCTGTTGCTGTTACACTTGCATTGATGAAGTCTTTTCTAGTATAATGTTTCTGAAATAATACGTTTTAAGTTAAAATAATAATAATAGTAAAGAGAAAAGATCGGAAATTTGTAAAATTACGGAAAAAAAGTCGGGATTCGGGCGGCCGTGTAAACCATATGGGAATGATGGTTTCGACGCATGGACAGCGTACGACGGATTCGAACCCGGGACGTACGTGTTTCCTACGTAAAGGTCCCCACACACCGCGGCGGTAAAGGTACGGTACCGATACGGTGACGGTGACGATAAAATTGCGCTCATAGTTTTATATGGCATCGTTCACATTGACACGATATCGGATATTACCTACCGGGCCGGTGAACGGTACACACGCCGTTATTCTTTGTGCGGTACAGTTAAAAGTTATACACATGGGATTAAATGGGCGCTTGCACACTATGCGATATAATGCCGGTACGGTCTCAAATATCGTATCGGAGGACGGAATATGCGCCGATATTTCTAGAACGTTGCACGCACAATTTTTACCGGGTACCGGAAAGGTAAAATTAATATTATGCGAATCAAAATTCAAAATGTATACTTAAAAACCAGAGAACCTATACAGAACATGTGTACCTTATCATTGAGTGAATACTGTATAGTGGGATGGATTATTGAATACGAAAAAAAATGTTGTGCATAGAATACGGATTTTAAAAATAGTTTATGATATTATTGTATATACATACACATTATTATTTATTATTTTTTTTTTTTTATTTTTTTTTAGTTTATTAGATAAAAAATAAGTAAATTAGATTAAAGAAGGTAAAAAAAAACATGAATAGCGTGAGGAGGGAGGCCCACCAGTGTGGATACCCTCTAAAATGTATTATTTATGTAATTTCTTAGTTCAGTAAGGATTGGTTGACAATTAATATAGTCATTATATATATGTATATATATCACAATAGTATAATATTATAATATAGTTTACACTATAACTTATAAGTAAATACTGACGTATTACCTACCCAGATAGCAAGAAATTGTTTTTTTTATGTCAAAAAAATATTTTATTTTTAATGATATCATTATATAATTGTTACAGTTTCATTATATGCTCATCAAAAAAATGTTATTTTATTGATTATATAATGTTATTTGGCCAACAGTTTGAGATTTTATAATTATCAAAAATAAAATAATGATTTATCATTATTTTCATAATATCTTTAAATTAACACACAAATAATGTTAGAAAAACATTTCTTATTATTATTAATAAAAAATTTTTTAAAACATTTCATAATTATTCTACTAAATTGCTATTTAAACAACTTAAAAATATAATTTTCATTATATTTTAATATGGTAGGGAGGTGTGACTATAGTATAGTGTATTTATCTTAGTATAAATATAATATTGTAAGTAATATACATAATATGCGTGATGTGTATTGTAGTAAACCGACGTTTTTACACAAAAACGGCGTTCTAAAGGTTAGGTGGCCTGAACAACATCACGTCACCAAAATAGGCCACTGAGGCTGCCGCCTCATTGGTTAATACTGATCAACTACACATCACGCCATTCCTATGACGTCAATCATCCTTTCCTAAATCCCGGGCATGTCTCATATAAATAGGGGCCCTGTTTCACAGACTTTTCAGACATAGAAGTAATTACCAGTGCTTAACAATACTTGTGTGGGTCGCGGACTAGAAACAGCCGCATTGCCGTCCACATCAAGTATAATTTCAATTACAACTATTCTCCGGTAGAATTATTATTCTGTCGACAAATTTTACATTACTTTAAATTAACTACATTATTAGTTTTGTGTTAATAAACATTATATCTATAATTAACTACATTTTGTGTTAAACTATTCTTACTCTACCTTCACTTCAACCACCATCCTCCGATTCATTGCGACGACGTGTACGTGCATTCGTCGTTAAAGAAGTGTGCAGTAACCAATCAAGTGAGAGCGACGGGTTACTACAGTATTTTTACATTATTTTGTTCTATTTAATTGATTCTTAAATTTTTAATGATCTTTATAATCTTTTTAACTACAGCATTTTTAAAAATATAATATTTGTGTATGCTAGTAGTGATACTTGCATCACTAACTCCATACATTTATATTAGACCAGGTCATCATTCAAATTAAATATATTTTATTTAAAATAAAAAAAATTATGCCTTCAAATTTAACACCAAAATTATTTTTGTGCTCCCCATTTGGTATTTTGTCACTAATATAATATCTTTTCAGAGATGGACTACTTTTTAAAGTTATGACTACATTATATGTTTATGGTAGACATTTAAAAACATAATTAATTATTATGACCGTTAAAAAGTTATTTAACTGACAACTACATAAAAAATTATATGATTATGGATTTGCTTAATGTTTATGTTGCTTAATGTATGGAGATAACCTGCACAATTATAATACAATGAATTAAGCACCAATTTTCTTTTATTGTACTACAATTCAAAAGCAATTTATTATTATAATTATATTCTCTGAATTACAAATTTTAATATTGAAAATATTCAATCCTTCATAGATTGATTAGTTTTTGTTTTTGGCACATCCCTGAACTTAGCACCCGAAATGAATATCTTTAGTGGCCCTTCTACATCGATTGTATCAAATTTATGGAATTTTTTCATAAGCTTGATGGAGTCTGGAAATAATTAACAAAATTGTTTTAATAATTTAAAATTGTATATTGGTTGTAGACACGATAATGAAAAATAAAAGATAACAACTCAGTCATTACCAAATATAACTGAACATATCGTTAATGTGTAGAACACCTTTTTTCCTTTTTGTCCTTTATAACTAAATATATTCAGTAATTTATCTTTGAAAAGAAATCTCATTACAGCTCGTACAGTACTGGGTAACGAATCCTTAGCATATCGCTTCAGTTCCAAAGTCTGTAAAATAATTCAATTGCACATTTATAAGTTAGTATTATAGACGCATTACATATATTTTTAGAAGATTGTTAGAAACTGACAAATCTTATCTCTAAATGTGCACCTTTTGTATATTATTTAAGTTAGGTATACAAATTTATAATTTTATCAACCATATTTTAACTTCAAATATAACCTTAATATGTAAGTCTTGTTGTTCAAACATATTTTCAAATTTAACAATAAATCATCAATAATCTATAACAATTTAATCATCCAAACAAATAGTTTCAAAATGTATATTAAAAAAGCCACAATCTTCCTTTAAAAGAAATTATTATAATTATAATTTATAACATATTATTTTTTTGACCAGTTTATTATTAATAAATAATGTCATAATAACAACAAGTGTAACAAAAAGTATCTTAGAAATTTCTGATCGATTCCCAAATGAACTACATACTTATATCAATTAATAGTTCCCAAATAATCAAATTAATTAAATTTGTCAATATTAATTTAAGTATTAAACTTACAACTTTTTTTCTGAATTCCTGATTGGAAAGTTTGGATTCAAACAATGACAAGTCTTCTTCATTTTCTATAGGAAGGATTTGAAATATTTCCTTTTGAAATGTATCCTCATCAGTTAATATCTCACCATAACCAGTTTTTTCAGATGTATTTATTAAACCATCAATTTTGTCAGATAGTGACATAATATCATACTTGATATTACATATAGTACGGTTCATTTTGTACATAAGATCTAAAAAATATCATATTATAGAAATAATTATACAATATATTATATTAAATAGTCCTACAATTACTAAAAACACATATTAATTACTAATATTTTTCTAAAAACATATTATATAATTTTTAGTTTTAAAACTAACGCTCAACTTTTATTATTATTAATTTTATTTAGAAGACTTTAATTTTTGATATTTATAGTACTTAAAATATTTTAATCATTTGCTATACTATATATTGAGAATACCAATAATTTTAATTGAACTCTTGAGACTCAGAACACCATATAATTAAATAACATAAAGTAAATAATATACTAGATAAATTGTTGTCAGTATTATCTTTATGTATACTATCTATAAACATGTTCATATCAAATCTACTACTTGCGAGAATAATAATTTTTATGATATTTAATTATCTATTTAATTTATATCTAAATATATTATATCTAATATATCTATAATATTATATCTACCTAGTAATTTATCTTTTTGAGCAGGTTGATAGTCTGTTGACAAATTCAACGATTGTTGAGAAGGTTGCAGATAATCTGACAAATCGAATAAGTTTTTTTCTTTTCTGTTACTAGTACTCTCCATTTGAAGTGATTGAACAGCTTGAGGTATATTTTCTTCAGTCGTCACTTTAAATGGAGAAGATGATGAAAAAATTACAGTATTTGATGGAAATTCCGAACCTAATAAAAATGTATTTATTTATATCAAAATATAAATATTTTTTTAATATTTTAAACAAGGGATATTTCAATGATTTACCTACTGTTATATGGATTAAATATATCCAATATAACAATTGGGGTAATTATCGCAAATTGATCTTGCACAGACATAATTCAAAAACATAGCATGACATTTTTAATAGTATGTGGATAGGGACTTCAGTTGAATTAATATTTATAAAACTTAATATGTTTTAAATATTAGTTTTATAATTACATGTACTAATATTATTAATAATAGTAAGTATTTTTATTTTTATTTTTTACTACCTTTCTGAATTTTTGGTGACTCTGGTACACTATGTTCTACATAATAACTTAGCTTTCTTTTTACATTTAATGTTCCACTGGGGATATTATCTGATTGTAATGTTGAACCAGTTGGTGTAACTGAAATTTTATTAAATAAATGTTATATAAAATTGTATCATTCTTAATTGGTATAATATTAACTGTAGTATTAATGATTGTCTTATATATAGGAAATTACCATTCACAATGTTCAATTCCATAGATGTATTGGATTCCATTGCTGTATTGATATCTTCTTGCTCAACTTAAAATATAAAAGGAATACATAATATAGTACTTTATTAGACTTTGAATTATTATTTATGATTTTTTAAAAATTACTTATTAAATCATCATCAGAAGCTGGACTCCACATTTCCTCATCATACAATTTTTTCTTTTTTTCAATTTTCCTTTTTTTAATGTTTTTTGTATGGTATAAGTTTTGGGTTGATTCAGATAGTTCAGTAGTAGATAGATCAGAGGTAATTTCAGATATTTTAGCTTTGTTACGAGCTATTGCATAAGTGTCTGGACAAAAACCAATGTACAACTATTATTATAAACATAAATTACATGAAAAAAATGTATGTTTAACTAAATCAGAGGTATCTACTATATTGTAATATCAGATATGTGTATACCTATATAAATATGCAGATAGATACAGTACAAATACTAATACTACAGATTAACCTATCATGTTAAGTACCATATTTTAATAAAAGCATAAAACAATTTGTATCATTATATTCAAATATACATACCATAGCTTTTATTATTCAATTTACGCGCTTCTAAATAATCAAATTCCAATATATTTGGTGATGATCTGCGTGTTATCATTTTTTTAGCATTTTTTCTTGGCCAAGCGCATTTATGGTTTTTATACCAATGCGAAGGCACAGCTTCAACCGAATTATCATCCTTAAAAACAACTACACACCACATTGTATAACGATAAATAGCTAGACAAATCTAAAAACAAAATAAAATAAACAATTGGATGTGCACTTAAGTTAATTTATACTAAACATAATAAATGCATATTTAGGAGCCTATATATAGGGTAATGATTTGTATACAATTAAGACAAACGTAAAAACTTAAACTACTAAAACTTTGTGGGTACCTATATCTCTTAATAAAGGGTGGGGCAGTGAAAATAACGATTTTTGTATCTAAATATATAGGATGATCGCCCTTTTCACTGCCCCACCCTGTACAATACAATGCAAGTCTATTAATTAAACATTATAAACATAAGGCTACCTATAACAATTTTTTTGTAGAATGAATTATTGGTAATGCTATAAAATTGTTATTAAACGGTAAAACTATCATTTTATTTTTGATATTATGAATGGTATACGATACATAATTATCTGATAATTGGTTAACAATATAAATATTTAAACATGTTGATTCAATAGGTTTAATGAATAATGGGCGTTTGTTTTCAAACTGTTTACATATTAAAATAATATCTTCAGTGTTTTTATTTTGAATTATGTTCAAAACTTTTAAAACATTATGATCATGAGTCAAAAGGTAAGAGTCAGCTTCAATATGTGTTTTAATACTCATTGTTTCAAATATTATGGTTCTAAATTGATCTCCAGTCTTGATATACTCTAAAACAGGGCCACATTTGTGCAAACCAGCTAACCGGTATAAAGATTTTTTTAGTTTTATGGTTGATTTTAAGTCACAAATTTCTTTATATCTATTCACAACTTGTTCTAAAGGCTTGTTTGGCTTTCTCAGCATTCTTTTTAATGAGCACATGTAGTTTTCAAATGGAAATGCTGAGCAAGTATCCAACGGTCCAAATCGGTCATAATCTTCATAAATATGTGTCAGACCATGAATGTTATGCGAGATAAGATGACGGCCATAAATTTTTTCAAAATTTTTAACAAAATTATCTAATAGTATACGAGAAACGTTAATATACTCTGCATAATCAGGACTTAATAAAATTATCATTGCCACACTTAAACCAAAAAAATGTTTCCATTGTTCATCTTGTAAAATAGGTTTAGTTACAATTATACCGATATATAGTAAAAAATTTCTAAATTCAGTCGCTTTCCAACGACTCACTTCAAGTAGTGTTCTAGGTTTCCTAGCAAATTCACAAGGCACGTGGGTTTTCAATTGTTCCAATGCTTTAGACATTTCTTCGATTTTCCACGACGGATGTCGGATTCCAATAGGTCCTTTGATCCATAACATTATGAGTTTTCGTACAGTCCCTAGGCACACCAAATGCATGTAGTCTAAAGAAAATTTAGTAACTACATCAAACATTGGCAATGTTGCTAAAAGAGAAGTGTTGCCTACATGATGTTCTTCTTGTGACTGAACTAAATAATTTTGATGAGTCCTTGTTGGCGGACATCTTGTGGATGGCGTATATGGAAAACAAATTCTATTGGCCAAGTATTCTCCTTCAATTTCACATTTTGAGCAGGAATAAAACCCTGAATGTCCTTTTATCTTTAAAATATATGATTTTGCAGGCGCATCGCAACACATAGTTCGAATGGAAAAATTGTACTTTTTACTATCAATATAAAGACCTTGTTCTATTAAAACTTTGGATTCATCAATAAAATCTTTAATAAAATCATTGCTATCCTTTGGTTTTTCTTTTCCACAGTATATTCCAATTGGAAATACACTCTCATTGTTAGGATATATGTAAGCTAGTATTGGCCAAAACTGTTCAGAATTACTTTTAAATAGTGGCAATCCGTCGATTCCCACAACTATTTGAATATTTAAATTATCTTTTGAACATTCAGATATATTTTTTTTAATACCATTGACAATACCAAAATGGTGATATTTACCTGGTTCTACCACACGTAGATTAGGTTTTGCATTATTGGAGAGCATTATAGTTCTAGCATCTTTAGGAATAGTTTCAAAGCAACTATGTTGTCTTAATATTAATAATAATTTGCTTAAAGCATTTTGAGGAATATTATATGTAATGGCCCATTGTGTAATTAATGATATTATAGAAGATATTTCATTGTCATTGTTCGATAAATGTATATCATCATCTTCATCGGTTTCAGATGATAAATACCGAGGGGTAAACCACTATGCTAATCAGTGTACAAAATTTTGTTAATCATGATAATCATGTGATAATCATGATAATCATGTGATAATCATGATAATCATGATAATCATGTGATAATCATGATAATCATGTGATAATCATGATAATCATGTGATAATCATGATAATCATGTGATAATCATGATAATCATATGATAATCTTTGTTAATCACACAGATTTCTATATAAAAATATAATATAGATATATATTACCTATGTGGTTAATCATTATTAAATTTTGATTATCATAAATGTATAGGATAATTTTACTTTCATAGAACCCATGAACTTAATATGTACCATGGATGAATTGCGGAAAATAAATCCCTGACTCTAGCAAAAAAAAATCCTGAGACTACAAGATTACTTATATATTATCAATTAAATGCAACAGAAATCGATGAATCAAACTTTAACTAAAAAAAATGTTAGATTGAAAATAGATTAATTAATCTTAAAGTTATTTACAATAGAATTTCAAAACTATCCAAAGTTCGGCCGTTTGACGGTATATTATAATTTAATATTATACTATATTATAATATAATTAAAAAAATAATACTATAAATAATTTTCGAAAAATTAACAATAAATATTTTATTCATAGTACCACCTATATTTTCTATAATATTTTTGTATACCTACTATCGAGCCAACTATGTTTTGAACTGTATTATTTGGTATACTACCAAAAAGTCCGAGGTAAAAAATGCCTAGGAAAAAAGTCCGTGGTTAAAAAGTCCTAGGTATAAAAAGTCAACGGTGAAAAAGTCCGGTGCATATAATTAGGTAAAAGGAAAAACACCATGTGATAAACAATCAAACTTC